TTCCTGTAACTAAAATCTGGAAACTTTTGTTCTTGTTCTGACTGCCACTGCACTTGACCTGGAACAAGTCATTAAACCTCTACAAAAAAAGTATAAGACTGGTTATGTCATTACAAAATTTTAATGTCATTATGGATTTATAAAATAAATATAAGCATTTCATTTTAAAACTTAAAATTTTGTTTTGTGATCTAGAAAACCTATAAAACCATGGAATTCAGCTAAAATACCTGCTTCAAAACCAAATACTTTTGAAAAGTACTTTGTTTAGTAGTATTTCTATAAGTTTTTAAAAATTAAATTTTTGCTAAGTACGAGTTATACTAAAATGGAATGGGCATGTTCTGAAATATATCAACAAATAATCAAAAGAATATTTAGCCGTAGCTGGTTTGGCTCAGTGGGTAGAGCATTGGCCAGTGGACTGAAAGGTCCCGGGTTCAATTCCAATCAAGGGCACATGCCTGGGTTGCAGGCTCGATCCCCAGTATGGGGTGTGTAGGAGGCAGCCACGATCGATGGTGTTTCTCTCTCATCGATGTTTCTATCTCACTCTCCCTCTCCCTTCCTCTCTGAAATCAATAAAAACATTTTTTTTTTAAAGAAAAGAATATTTAGCCCAGCTGGTGTGCCTCTGTGATTGAGCATCGACTTATGAACCAGGAGGTCATGGTTCAATTCCTGGTCAAGGCACATGCCGGGGTTGCAAGCTCGATCCCCAGTGTGGGGCATGCAGGAGGCAGCCGATCAATGATTCTCTCTTATAATTTTCTATCTCTCTCTCCCTCCCCCTTCCTCTTTGAAACCAATAAATAAAAAATATATTGAAAGATTTTTTTAAAAAAAACATTTTTATATAATAGGTTTTTCTCATTGATGAAATGCAATTAACCAGTTAACTGCCACGATATTTTAAATTTAATTAAAAAAGGTAAGCCCCTTGCATCTATAGATGCTTATGGTGTACAAATGGTTAATACCATGTGAAAGTATGGCAGTCGTTACATCAGTGTATAAATATTGACTATACCATATCCTATACCTTTGAGCAATTAGAAATATATTTGATTTCTTCAGAATCTCATCTAATATTTTAGAATAAACAACTTTTTATACATCTATATGATCTTTGTCCTTGAAAGTTTTAATGCCTACTTAATAGTCCATTGAGTTGTAACTCCTATAGCTGGACATCTAAACTATTTGCTAAGTTTTACTTTTATAAATAACTAGAGGACCTGTGCACAAAATTCGTGCACTCGGAAGGGTCCCTCAGCCCAGCCTGTACCCTCTCGCAGTCTGGGAGCCCTTGGGGGATGTCCAACTGACGGCTTAGGGAGTGGGCCTAAGCCAGTAGTTGGACATCCCTCTCATAGTCCAGGACCCCTCGCTCCTTACCGCTCGCTGCTCCTTACCACTTAGCTCGCTGCTCCTTAGTACTGCCGTGGAGGTGGGCCATTGTGCTCACCAGCCGTGAGCCTGGCTTCTGACTGAGCAGCACTCCCCCTGTGGGAGCACACTGACCACCAGGGGGCAACTCCTGCTTGAGCGTCTGTCCCCTGGTGGTCAATGCACATCATATCAACCGGTCGTTCTGCTGTTCAGTCGATTTGCATGTTAGCCTTTTATTATATAGGATAATAAAAAGCCTAAGCGACCATTATGGTAGAACAACTGGTCACTATGATGTGCACTGACCACCAGGGGCAGATGCTCAATGCAGGAGCTACCCCCAGTGGTCAGTGTGCTCCCACAGGAGGAACGGCCACTCAGCCAGAGGCCAGGCTCATGGCTGGCAAGCACAGCAGTGGTGGCGAGAGCCTCTCCCACCTCCGCAGCAGCCCTAAGGATCAATGAGCCGGGTGGTAAGGAGCAAGCAGGCTGGTGGTAAGAAGCGAGGGATCCCAGATTGTGAAAGCAATGAGCCGGGTGGTAAGGAGCAAGCAGGCCGGTGGTAAGAAGCGAGGGATCCCAGATTGTGAAAGGGACATCCCCTGAGGGTCCCAGACTGCAAGGGGGTGCAGGCCAGGCTGAGGGATTACCCCCATCCCACCCCCAGTGCCCAAATTTCGTGCACCGGGCCTCTAGTATAGGATAATACAGATAAGCATCATTAGAGAAGCATCAATTTCCTTCCCTCGTGAATTATTTAGTAAGGATTAAACTACTAGTGACATAATTGGGTTGAGAACTTCAACATTTTTATAGTTCTTGCTGTATGTTACCAAATCATTTTATAATGTCAGTATACAATGGCACAGAACAGTTTGCTTGAAGCCATTCCAGAACTGAGGTTTTATTAAAATATATTTCTGAAAATGATAACCAGTCATTTAAAATAGATTCACTGTGGCATCTTTAACAAATCATGATGAATTGAAGCAATTGAATTTAGTTAACTATTCATGTATGATTTTCCTCTGAAAAATTTTTATAGAAAAGAATGTTAACCCTAGATATATTTTAGATCAGTATCTAACTAGGGTTATTGCATGCTATATGGAAAATATAATTCTCATTTTAATTTAGGAGATAATTATTGATAGTCCTTATCTGTAGCTCTAATTTAAACAGCCTTAGCTATTATATTTTACTAAAATTCTGTGTGCTGAGACAGTCATAGCATGTTAGGAAGTGTAAGAAAAACATAAAGAGACAGTATGTCTAGCATTTGCATTTAAATTACAGCTGTATAATCAATCCATGCACTAAGACTTGTAACCTTGTATACCAGAACAATTCCCTTCTCTTCAGATTGCTTAGTACAATAGCCTAATAAAAGTCATTCTTTCACATCTAAGGGCATTCCTATTGCCCATTTCAAATTAAAAAGAGCCTGATTCTAGTATGTGGCCAGGGCTGAGTCATCTTTAGTATAAGGTCCTGGAGTACCAGTACATTCTTGTACTTTGGCTTTTTCTTATAGACCAATATAGAACTTTGTACGTAAGTCAGATTAGAGGAGATTAAAGTTTTCAAACTAGACTTAAAGTCCTGGGTGGTCTTATAAATAACAGTAAAACACTCTTAAAGGCCGGTGTGGTTTTAGGATAGTCCTAAGGACACATACTCTTCCCCAGACAGTCTGAGAAGACTTCTGCGGCCCAGGGAAATCTAGCCAACCTGGAAACCATTTCTGGGTAAGAGAAATAGCTTCCCTGCTCACCCAGTATTTGGCTCCACTGTTGGCCAAATTCTACGGCAACCACAAATCTAAACTAAATTTTAATGTTAGCCTATCTTATATCTCATGTCTAAATCCTTTTATCTTCCTTTGAAAGACATGCCAAAATTATTCCCTAACTTGAGCAAAGTAGTACCTGAAGGTCCCACATCCATTTTTAAAATGTTATAAATGATACAACACTTTAATTCTACTTAATATAGAAATTAAAAGTTTAACAATATGACTGTAGTTTAAATTGGTGTTTTTTTTTCCTACTGTGTTTCTTTCCTAGCAAGCAGTAATAGATTGTAAGGAAGGTCTAACTTATAAACTATTTTGGCATCAAATAAAACCAGTATTGGACAGGAAAAAGAAAAAAAAAGTTTTGTTTATATACTTACTTTCTCTCTAGGAACATTTCATGGAAGTAATTCGAAACCAAGAATTTGTATTATTACCAGCCAATGAAATTGCAAAGCTCTTGGCCAGTGATGACATGAACATTCCTAATGAGGAGACGATATTGAATGCACTTCTTACTTGGGTCCGTCATGACTTGGAACAGAGACGGAAAGATCTTAGTAAACTTCTGGCTTATATTAGGCTACCTCTTCTTGCACCACAGGTAAACAACTTTTGATTATTTAAAAACAATGTCATAATTTCAACAAAATGAGTATTCACTTTATGCTAATTACATTAATATATACTTGTGTCTAGTTTTTTTTCTTACTATTCTATCCCATAGGGTTATTTTACGTATATTTCTATTAAGTGGGTTTTTTAAAAATATATATTTTTATTGATTTCAGAGAGGAAGAGAGAGGGAGAGAGAGAAAGATCAATGAGAGAGAATCATCCATCGGCTGCCTCCTGCACGCCCACACTGGGGATGAAGCCTGCAACCCATGCATATGCCCTGACCTCAGGAAATCAAACCATGACCTCCTAGTTCCTGGGTCAATGCTCAACCACTGATCCACGGAGGCCAGGCTTCTATTAAGGGTTTAAGTGAAAAGATAGTGAGCTAAAAAAATTTCTGTTTATGTTTCAACCCAGCAGATCTGGCTCTGTCAATTAAATAACCTAATTGCATTAATTAACATTGTTGCTTTGAGGGTAGTAATTTTATTTGACTCAGCTACAAACCTATCCTAGAAATTGAAGAATTAGTAAAGCTGCTAATAAAAGGAACACTAGATCCTAAGAACCAGAAAATTTAGATTATTTCACTTGCCACAGTTAACTATTCACTAAATGCTGGATTTTGATGATACATAAATTAATGAGATATGATAATAGTTTCAGCTCTGAGATTTTAAAACCCTATGACCTAACACATTCACACACCTCAGTTTCTTCATCTGTCAAGTGGAGATAATATCCTCTCTGACCATCTCACAGGATTGTTCTGAGGATCAGAAAAGTGCTCTGTGAAATAAACTGTGCTATAAGTAATAGTGGTATGTAGAGATCCAAGATGGCAGCTGACTAGGTGGCTGTTACACTCACCTTCTCCCAGGACAAACTGGAATTACAACTAAAATACAGAACAATCAGCCTGAATAACCAACTGAATACTAGCTGGTTAGAAGTTTAATAACCAAGGATTTACAAAAGAAGTCACATCAAGATGTTAATGGCAAATGGTCTACCAGATATTAGGTAGACATATTGGTCAATGGAGCAGAATAGAGGGCCCAGAAATAAACCCATGTCTTTATATTTGACAGAAGCAAGAACATACAATGGGATAAAGACAGTCTTTTCAATAAATGGTGCTGGGAAAATTGGACAGATACATCCAAAAAATGAAATTATACCACCTTCTTACACCGTACACAAGACTAAACTCAAAATGGATTAAAAACTTCAATGTGAGACTCAAAACTATACAAATCCTTGAAGAAGACATAGGTTGTAAAAACTTGGACATTTCTCATAGCAGTATTTTTTCTGATATATCTCTTCAGGCAAGGAAAACAAAATAAAAAATAAATGGGACTACATCAGGCTAAAATGTTTTTGTACAGCAAACTATCAAAAAAAATGAAAGGTCATCCCACTGAATAGGAGAACATATTTCCAATGAAACATCTTATAAGGGTTTAATATCCAAAATTTATAAAGAACTTACACAGCTCAACACCAAAAAACAAACAATCCAATTAAAAATGGCAAAGGACCTGAATGTACACTTCTCCAAAGAGGACATACAGATGACCAATGGACATATGAAAAGATGTTAAACATCACTAATTATTAGAGAAATGCAAATTAAAACCACAATGAAATATCACCTCACACCTGTCAGAATGGCTATCCTATATAATAAAAGCCTAATATGCTAAGTGTTTGGTCGTCCGTTCAACCAATCAAAGCATAATATGCTAATGATATGCTAAGGCCACTCAATCGCTCGCTATGACATGCACTGACCACCAGGGGGCAGACGCTCCAACCTGTAGGTTAGCTTGCTACTGGGGTCCAGCAATCGGGACTGAACGAGATGGACTGAACACACCCTGGAGCCCTCCCGTGGTCCTTCCATGCTGGCCAACCTCCTGCATCCCTTTCCGGCCCCAATTGTGCACCGGTGGAGTCCCTTGGCCTGTACCCTCTTGCAATCCAGGACCCCTCAGAGGATGTTGGAGAACTGGTTTTGACCAGATTCTGCTCAGTGCAGGAGCTGCCCCCTGGTGGGCAGTGTGCTCCCATAGGGGGAGTGCTGCTCAGCCAGAAGTCAGGCTCACAGCTGGCGAGCGCAGTAGCGGTGGTGGGAGCCTCCCCACCTCCATGGCAGCACTCAGGATGTCTGAGGGGAGCAGGCCTAAGCCCGCAGTTGGACATCCCCCAAGGGCTCCCAGACTGTAAGAGGGCGCAGACTGGCCTGAGGGACTCCCCAAGTGCACAAACGTTCTGCATCAAGCCTCTAGTCATCAATAAAGCAACAAACAATGCTGGCAAGGATGGGAAGAAAAGGGAACCCTCATGCACTGTTGGTTGAAATGCAGACAGGTGCAGCCATTGTGAAAAATAGTATGGAGATTCCTCAGAAAGTTAAAAACGGAATTGCCTTATGACCCAGCAATTCCACTTCTAGGAATATATCTGAAGAAACTAGAAGCATATCTATTTCAAAAGAATATATGCATCCCTATGTTCATTTCAGCATTAATTGCAGTAGCCAAGATCCAGAAACAGCCCAAGTGCCCATTAATAGATGAGTGGATAAAAAAAGCTATGGTACATTTATGCAATAGAATACTACTTGGCTGTAGAAAAGGAGGAAATCTTCCCTTTTGCAACAGCGTGGATGGACCTGGAAAGTATTGTGCTAAGTGAAATAAGCCAGTCTGATAAAGACAAATACCATATGATTTCACTATGTGTAATCTAATGAACAAAACAAACAAACAAAATAAAAACAGACTCATAGATACAGAAAACAGACTGACAGCTGTCAGAGGGGAGGGTGGTTGGGGGCTCCGTGAAAAAGGCGAAGGGATTAAACAAAAAACAAACAAACAAAAACTTAGACACAGACAGTACTGTGCTTACCAGAGGGGAAGTAAGGTGGGGGGATGTTAAAGAGGGTAAAAGGGGAATAAATGGATAAATGGTGATAGAAGGAGACTCAACTTGGAGTGATGAACACACAGCACAATATACAGATGATGTATTATAGAACTGTACACCTGAAATCTATATAATTTCATTAACCAGTGTCACCCCAATAAATTCAATAAAGTTAAACTAATAACAATGGTACGATTATTATCACTACTTTACAGTTGAGAGATTGTACAGTTGGTGTATTTGAGGCAATTAGTCCTAACATATTTACATGCAAAGTTTTCCCTTTTCTACAGTTTTGACTGGGATATACAGAAATTTCCTCTGCATACTTTGCTGCGCATTTTGAGGCCTTGAATAGAGAAAAGGGCCTTGAAAGTAGAGCAAGAATGAGCTGTTACTGCTCAACTTTTTACTGTTGTTTAAAGTGCCATAAGTTTTGTCCTGTTTGTATTTATCTTGAGGATTCTGTATTATTTCTAGCTGATGTGAGCAAAAGTTGCTGTTTGCTTTCTACCTCACAGAGGCAAAAACCAGTGCTGATGCTTGATAAGAAAGACCTTCCTCTTCAGAGAGAACATTGTATGGGTTCATAGGAGTGAAGTGCATGTATTTGTGACAATTCAGGAAGAATAACATCATAAAATACTTCTTTCAAAATCAGATTTAAAGAAGAGAGTTATATTTTACTGATACCTAGCAGAATTTTTTTTAATCCTTTTTAGATGAGAGAATATATAACTAAAAAATTAGACTTTAAATATAATCTGGACAATTAAGTAGCCTGACAATTGACTTCAGTCCTGCTGTTTCAAGTATTTATGGTATTATTTTGCATGACCCTAAGAGAACTTCAGATTTTCTGTTATCCAGGATATTGCTGATATTCATAGACTTAAGATCTTAGATTTGAAAGGTACTTTGAGATCTAACACCTAAATGAAGTAACAAACCAAAAAAGTAAAACCATGTGATCATAATCACAAAGTGATTGCAGAATCACTTCTGCATTGTAGTTTTATTTGGTTTCCCATTGACTAATATTACAGCACTAATAAGACACTGAGATAGGACTCAAACTCAAGTAAAGTCTGCGCCTTTTCCATTGAACCATTGTGCCTCTTGTATATACTATGTGTAAAATTGCTGGTTGGGAGGAAGAAATTGATTAAAAAATAAATCTGTGATAGATATACCAGGGTAGGCAAAAGTAGGTTTACAGTTGTGAGTACTCAAAACAATTCATTTTTGTATTATTATTTATTTATTATTGTATTATTATTATTATTATTTATTATTATTACTTTTGCCCACCCCTGCATAAATGTGGCATTATGAAAATAATCAGAGTAGCCCACCCAGACTGATGGTGAGGAAGCTAGGAGGACTTCCTAAAGTGTTACTCAATCTGCATCTTGAGTAAACTACCCAGAAGGGGCATGGCAGTCTAGGAGAGAGAGGCGATTGTGCCTAGTTATCAAGTCATGAGCAAATATGTCATGTGCTGGAGTTTGAAGGTAGTTTGCCTGGCTAGAATGCAGAAATAAAAGGGCAGTGTTGAGAGATGAGGCTGGAGAGGGAAATGGACCAGATCAAGAAGATCCTCGAGTTATGGATTTCATTCTAAAAGCAATGAGGGAGCACTAAAGGGTTTTTGATAGGAAATAGCATAATTATCATTCCATTTCAGAAAGATTCTATAACTGCATTGTAGAGAATGGATTCAAGAGGTCAAAGTAGACACTCATTAGGAAAGCCATTGGATTCACACAGTAAGCATTCTGTGGCAGAGGAGATAGAGAAATTATCAGGCTCAAGAGCTATTTAGGAGGTAAAACTGATAGAGCTTAATGTCCAGTTGAATGGTGGGGGGTAAAAAAATAACAGCAGTCCAGAATGATCCTGATTTGTGTAACTAAGTTAATGAAGGTGCTGTCAATTAAGAAAAAGGGTACAGGGTGAAGAGCTGCTTTTGAAGGTGGGAAAGGAAGTGGAAGAATCATGTTCCCAGAGCTTCTCAACACTTTTATATTCTTAGAGTCTAAGAAA